TAATTTGAATTAATCATGTTGCATTTGCATTATTTATAGTGTTTTTGCATTATTTATAGTGTTTGGTTTCGCTGCCTTGTGTTTTCAAAGCGCAGTGTTTGTCTCCTCATTGATGGCGTGTGACACTGACATCAAAAATTTATTAAATATTAATGTTTTTCCAAAGAGTTAAATGCATGTTTATCAACAGCATCTGTGACATGCAGACAGCAAATAATTGAGTACAGTGCGTACAGAACTTAACTTACAATACAAACGTTCATTTTTAGAAACTGAGGGACGAGACATTATTTACTGTTGGTAAATCAACAGCTTGTCAGCATGTGGTCTTTCATGTTTCATCTTGTGTTGGGTAATGTAAGTGATAGTTTCAGTTTTTTTGTTTGAATGAGCGTTCATATTTCACATAGTTCATGTGCCCACACACACACACACACATGGTTATGTAAATGAGCAGTACAGTATTCAAACGACTGTAAAACACACTCGAGAAAGCCGTTCGTGACGTGACAACACATGCATCATTTTACTAAATCGATGTTATATTTGTATTTGCTTGCTCATTCACAGCTTCACTTTTATTAAGTCATAAATGAAAATTAAACCTGTCTTGACAGTGTATTGTTCAAGTAATGAAGCTTTAATTCGAGTTTCCATGAAAGATAAGTGCATTGATGTGACGTTTGATACTGACATTAATTGCATTAAAGCTCTAACGTTATTATCATGTGTTTTGCACTTTGTCTCTTAAAGTCATAACTCACTCTCCACAGCAGAGGTTCGCAAATCTCATTTGCATTTTCACATGCAATTTGTCACGTTACAAGACGCTAGAAGCAGCGTCACAAACACGTGTTGATTCAGAAGACTTTATATACAGTATTGCACGCACATTATATCATAATTTTGGTGTTTTATGTCTGGAACAACATAAGAATTAATTAAATGTTTCTTGTTCATGCATAACATTTGTTGGGAATAAATAATGAATAAATGACTGGTTTTCTTCCCATCAGATCACTGTCTGGTGCCGAAGAAAGAGGGTCCGTGTCGAGGCTCTTTCCCACGCTGGCACTACAACGCCGTCACAGAGAAATGTGAGCAGTTCAATTTTGGAGGCTGCAAACCAAACCGCAACCACTACCTGGCGCTCAACGAATGCCTGAACGCTTGCGACAAAGTTTCAGGTATTGAGCTTTTTCTGGTCATGTTATAAGTGCATGGCAGTTAATTACAGATAAAACTGTCAGAGTGCAAAAAACAAGTAGAAAGTCAGCAAGTATGTAACTACATATACCTAACTCCTAATATATATATGAGGAGTTAATTAGCAAAAACCGATAACCGATAATTTTTTTTCAGAAATCACTTTTTTTTTTAATCGCGCATTCCAAGTAATATCAATCAAACTGCAGTTGGGTTGATTTGATTAAGTAATAATAACTTAAACAAATACAAGTAATTTCAAAAATTAAAGTTAATTGAAAGTATGTTTTTTTTTACATATTAAAAGTTTGTTTTATAGCAAAAGCAGATAACTCCACATTTCATGTTTTAGAGTTTGAAAAACACTCGTTTAATCTTTGTAATCTCCTCAGATGACAATGTAGATGCCTGACAAACGTTGTTGTTGTTGTGATCATAAACTGTATGGATGTGATCACACGCAGTACACGGCGCTTTTCCCTCATCATTGTAACGTGCTGCTATTGCAAGCTTCCGTCAAAACGTTTCAGCTTTTATTTTCCTTTTTCGCCTGAAGAAGATATCACAGGTTCATTAAGTTCGTCGAAATGATCCATCCTCGATCACTTTGTCAGCTTTGAGAACTCCTCTCAGCTAGCACGTCTTTTCAAAGTGAAAGTAGCCTTGTCCCCTGAATACAGCGCGCGCTGATTCGCTGAAATAGATTTATCGGCTTCTGTTCAAAAACAACAAGGCACTTGTCGGCTTCTGCAGTGAAACGTGAACTCGCGATGCCTTGAAAGTGGACAAAACCGACTTTTTTGATGAATATATATATATATATATATATATTCTAAAATTATATATTATTATATATTCTGCAAGTGAAAATATATTTACTAATTAAATTAAGTATAATGCAAGTGACCATTATTGTGCAAAATGTGTGTATAAGTGTTTATTTAAACAAATATAAAATATATAATAGGCATGTAATACAAAATAACTTTTATCTTACCTTTTATAGGTTTATAATATACTTATTGTGAGTAAATATTGTAAAAAATGACTGTCTTTATTAAACCGTAACCCTGTTTTGACCTAAATACATGTACTCATTTAGCAGACTTTTTTCAGAAGCAACATACAAATGAGGACAAGCGATTTATTATATTGTACATGATCAGAAATTAGAAGAGCTTCTTTATGTGAAATGCTTCTGTAATGTCTGTCTGTGCATGATTTTTTATAATAAATTCCACTGTGTTTTATTGTCATATTTAACCACATTGACTTTTCAAAAAAAGGTGCTTTTGTTTTACACTAAATATTTTCTTATTGCAGTTTTTGCGCCGCCGCCGTCTGGAAGATTAGGTCCGATCCGCGATCAGCGTAAGTCCAGGAATGCTGATGATTTCAGTTTAATTAGTGTCTAGAATATTCATATAGACATGTGCGAGTGAAATGGTCTTCTGAACACACACAGGGGAGCAGTGTGACGCGGCTTGCGGTCCAGATCATTTCTCATGTTCAAATAAATGCTGCATCGAGAAAGATTTGGAGTGTGACGGGGAAGCGCAGTGCAGCGACGGTTCGGACGAGACCGAGTGCTCCAAACGTGAGGACAAGCATCAAAACACATGATACGTACACATTTCTGACATCGGAAGACTTCAAATAAAGTGCATGAAGTCATGCTTTTACGCTGCTTTATTGTCACTTTTGATCTCAAAAGCCCCTTCTGCTTTCATTTAGTAAGGAACATACAGGATTGAGCTTGAGGGAGTAAATGATGACAGAATGTTGATTTATTTTATAAAGCGGAGAGCTCCGGTGCTTGGCTCTGATTGGCTGAGCCGCGTTCGGAGCTGTTGTAAATGACGCTACAAAGTAACACACACCTTTGTTTACGTCTGTGTGTTGCTCGGCAGCTACTTTGTAGCAACCACAACTGTTTCTGAGGAGCTACATTGATTGGTGGAAGAATACTGTGTTTATTCATATCATTACACTTTATTTGCTCTGTTTTATTCTGTGAAGCTTAGCTACTTATATGGAATAACCGTTTTATAAAAGCAATAAGCCCCGTGAAGCCGTGGTTTACAGTGAATTTATAACAGCTAAGGGGGTTTTAGGCACTCCGCAACGCACCTTAGCTGTTATAATTTCACTGTAAACCACGGTTTCTTGGGGCTTTTTGCTTTATTTTCTCATTTATTTTTTGATGAACTGTCTCTGTAAATGTATGACTGACTGAATGGATTAATTGTCTTCTGTTCAGTGGACAGTAAGTTCCGTCGATTGCTGGATATTCCTGTGGACAAAAGCAAAGGTGATTTATATTTCATATTTTTAACATATTTTTCATATTTTATCTTGAAAAACTCATCACTGTATTTCATTTTTATTTTATTAGATGCAAACTAAAATATATATATTTAAAACATTTATTATTATAATTTTATGTTGAAAAATTTATCACTGTATTTAATTTCTATTAAATTTTTGTTATGATATATGCAAACATAAAATATATTTGTGATTATAATTTTATCTTTAAAAACTCGTTGTTGTATTTCATTTGCATTTTATTTTCTGTTATGATATATGCAAACTTTAAATATCTTTTTAAGAATTTATTGATTATGCATATATATTTTTAAAAACTCATCACTGTATTTCTTTTATATTTATTTTTATGATATATGCAAACCTAAAATACATCATTTTAAATATTTTTGATTATAATTCAGTATAATTCTGTATTTCATTTTTTGCTATGATATGCAAACATTATATATTTTAAAAACTGTATTGAATATAATTTCTATATATATATATATAATATAATCTCGAGAAACTTGTTACTCTATTTCATTTATATTTATCTTTCTGTTATGATATATGCAAACTTAAATCTTTTTTTAATATGTATTGATTATAATTTTATCTTGTAAAGCTGCATTTGATGTTTTAAAAAGCTACAAAAGTTGTATATTGTTCTCATATTTATTGTTTTATTTTTGTAAAGTGTTTTTGTGAAATTAGAGTTTTGTCAGCATGTAATACCTTTTGCCCCCTCAATATTAAATTCCTTATTAAAATGAACATGGATTAATCCGTGATGCATTCATTCTTCCAGTGAATTGCGTGGAGCTGCCGCTAACGGGCCCCTGTCGCGCAAGCTTCACTAACTGGTACTTCAATCCGTATGAACAGCGCTGTAATCGCTTCAACTACGGCGGCTGTGATGGGAATGAAAACCGCTTCGAAACGGAGGACAAGTGCATGCAGTCGTGCTCTGGAGTGACCGGTGAGTTTTACTGTATTATCACTCAACACTGAATCAAAATGGACCGTCTTTTCTCACGTGACGTATTCATTCGTGCATGCTATTGTGAAAAAAAACTTTATGATTAAATATTAATTTGAAAATATTTTTAAAGTGAATTTTCTCTGATGTTGTTTCATAGCTGGTCACTGTGTCATGCAAAGAAGATTTTTATTAAGCAAACATGAGACTGTAAACTCACCGAGGTCGTTGTTCTCCTGCAATCATGCGTCTTTTCTTTGTATTTCAGAGTCTGATGTGTTTGCCAGACGAGCTCATTATGGGAAGCAAGAGAGCAAGAGCGAAACGGGTAACGCGCAAGCAAAACACGCTTCATAATTAACAGCAGAAATATCATTCCTTGCATGCTTTCCTTTAAAAGATGAATGTTGAGTGAATGGGAGTCATAAATTTAACCGAAGTACCGTGACCTATTACTCAGTGTCTGAGCATTGAGATACGATCATAGTTTATATAGTTTATAAGTTATATATTTTTTTCATTTTGATGGATTCACCCTAGCTACATCCTAGCTACATGTTAGCAACCATCCAAAATACCCTAGCAACCTCCCAGAACACCCTTGCAACCGCATAGCAACGACCCAGAATAACCTAGCAACTGCCAAGCAACACCTTATCGACCACCTAGCAATGCTCTTGCAACCACCCAGAACACCCTAGAAACCGCATAGCAACACCCTGGCAACCACCCGCCATACCCTTGCAATTGCCTAGCAACCACTCTGAACACCCTAGCAACAGACCAGTGCCGAATTTTGCCAAGGCAAGCACCATTTACATTTTCTTCAGAAAATGTACATATCTACTTTTTATTATTATTATTACTACTATATATATATATATATATATATATATAATGTATGTATGTGTCCCTGCAGCACAAAAGCAGTGTTAAGTCGCTGGGGGATATTTGCAGCAATAGCCAACAATACATTGTATGGGTCACAATTATACATTTATTTTCTTTTATGCTAAAAATCATTAGGATATTAAGTAAAGATCATGTTCCATGAAGATATTTTGTAAATCTCCTACCGTAAATATATCAAAACTTAATGTTTGATTAGTAATATGCATTGCTAAGAACTTCATTTGAACAACTTTAAAGATGATTTTCTCAATATTTAGATTTTTTTGCACCCTCAGATTCCAGATTTTCAAATATTGTCCAATCCTAACAAACCATACATCAATGGAAAGCTTATTTATTCAGCTTCCAGATGATGCATAACTCTCAGTTTCACAAAACTGACACTTAAGACTGGTTTTGTGCTCCAGGATCACATATATATATATATTTACACACACACACATTTTATATAAAAATTAACGAAAACAATAAAGATATTTTACAACAACATGAATGAAATAAAAATGGGAAATGTTACCCTGGCATATAGCTGAAATAAAATGTTTATTTTATATATATATATATATATATATAAAGACTTCAGATGCAAAAACCATCTGAGATTTTTCTTTTTCTTTTAAATGAGCATTTTTATCAGGCTCCTATGTTTAGGTTAAGTAATTTCACTTTAATGGCAATGAAAAGGTTAAGTTAGTCTTAGTTATTGTATGTCTTATTTATTTTTTATAAGTATATAAATGTAATTTCCATCCTTTTTAAATGTAATTTATATATTTTAATATTTTGTACACATTTTACAAATGTATACATTTGAATAATTTACTTGCATATACAGTGGGTACGGAAAGTATTCAGACCCCCTTAAATTTTTCACTCTTTGTTATATTGCAGCCATTTGCTAAAATCATTT